AAACTAGCAACACATCAATACCATTAGCTTTTCGATTAGCTAAAAAAACGATAAACATTTCTAAATTCAGGGATTCCACCAAACGAGCTGCTCCACGTTCATCTGTACTCCGTGCCATGCGCTGAGCCCGCGCGATCGGAAACGAATGCATTTGTGTATCGAAATGAACTGCACCGTTGCTTCGCCGAATGTCAATGCTATCTGGTTGAGCATTTTGCTCAGTGACACGGTGAGGCTGAGTCCTGACAAGAACGGGTACATTCTCGCAAAAGCGTTCACAACGCCGAAATGCCCGACTTGTGACGAGGGCTTCTCGGCCGCGATCCCAAAACGGCATCCGGTTGTTTTGACAAAGTGTGGACACACAATTTGCAGGGGATGCTCGGAGCGACTCCATCCCCAAAACCCTCGGGGTCATAGGGATGAAGTCGAGGCACAACAAGTGCTGTGCCCGGGTTGCAACACCGCTAGCAACAAGTGGAATTGTCAACGGGATCAAATCCTATTCGAGCTTCTCAACGATGTGGAGGCTGATAAAGAGGTCAAATCAATTCGAGTGCACTCGTTCGACTCGTTGAAATGTTGGAGTTGCGCACAACCAGCACTTGGCAACTGTAAATTGGGTGCAAACGGAGAACTTCAAGGGGTCTACCAAATGAAATGTGTGACAGCGTTTCTCTGTGGTCGATGCGTTGTCAGTGGTCCAAAGCGACGCCAACGAATGCATGTATGTAGTGAGACGGCTTGTGCCTCGGTCCGGCTAAGTCCCTACTCAATTTGGGTGAAGCTCGTCGTGGATGGATTCGTGAAAGTGAGCTCTGATTGGAGCGCTTACGTAATCGACCAGCCGTTTCCCCAAATTCAATGTCTGATTTGTGCAGTGACTTTCTCGGCATCTCCGTCAGCTCGAGAACCCATCGATCTCCCATGCGGACACACGGTGTGTCAGGGTTGCTCGGGAAAACTCCTCATAAACGAGACACAAGTCCGGTGTGGAAACTGTGAAAAAGCAACCAACAGGGATCAGAATCGAAAGAACAAGATCCTTATCGCTTTCCTCAACGAGCTCGACGCCGTTCTAAACAATCCTCAACAAAAGGAGAGATGTGAGAAATGCGGCGTAGAACATCGATCGAACAAAAGCGTCCACTGCGAGGAGTGCCGGATGACACTGTGTGCCATGTGTTTTCTGATGGAACATAGAGAACACGAGTTCACACGATTAGATGGAATAGCCATCGCCTATCAGATCAACGCCTACTCGAAAGCGGTTCCCATTCTTCAGCAAGAAGTCGACACTTCGATTCAGCTCTTCGAGAATTTGGTCGTCGAGAAGAGAGGGGAATGGCCAGATTGTCAGGAGTTTGGGAATCGATTCGAGGGAATCTCCGAGGAATATTTCCCTCACTTGCGCGCTTATTGCACCAAATTGAAGCAGCTCTGCGACGAAGCTGCGGGAAATGACATCGAATCATAGAAAAAATGACAAATTTATCTTTCGGATTTTGTTTCTGACATTTTATAACACTTTTTGATACAATTCGTTTATGTTCTCACAATTTAAAAGCACAATTTAAATGAATTTTGTAAAGAGAAAACGGATTTCTTTCCTTCTCTTTCTCTTTCTCTTCTTCTCTCTCTCTCTCTTCTCTTTCTCTTTCTCTTTTCTCTTTCTCTTTCTCTTTCTCTTAATTAGAGAAAGAAAGAAGAAAGATTTCTCTTAATTAGCAAGGAAATTAAGCAAGGAAAATGTTTAAATTCTTTCAAAAAAACATTAAAAAGAATCAATTTTCGAGGTGAATTCCTTCAACTGGTCAATTCCTTGAGTGGATTGAATAGAGACATTCTCGATTTCGATAGCCACAATGAAAGTAGCTTTGTCGTCTTTAAGAAAATCTAGAACTAGAAGAATTTAATTGTTATTTATTAATTGAACCAGAACCAAAACTAGAACCAAAACTTGAGCCAGTCTCCTTTTTAGTCTACTGATTTGAATGTTTTATGTAATCATTTCAGTTGATACCAGTGATTTCTATATACTCGATCTCTGACAAGGCTGAGATGGCAATCTCTAATGGTTCACTCAGTAGAGTGTCTACGTTTTTCCCCTTCACCCCTTTGGCTGGAGTTCGGTGCAATAACTTTTTTTTGTGCAGACAGAATTCAAAATTTTAGTTGTTTTTCTCTTAGTTGGAACACACATAACAATTGTTAATAATATTTTTGATCTATTAGCAAATTCTTTGAACTCCTTGTGCCCCTCTCAAATGATCTAGTTGATGTTATTCTTCAATTCCAAAGCTTTTACTTTTATTTTCTTGTTTCCCTTTATCAAACCTTCTCAACAAGGAAATCCTCCCATTGAAAAACTTCGAAAAAAATGAGCTCTGAGTCTTCGGGAGTGAAATGATGTTCAGCAATTTTCACGAGATCATCAACACCAACCTTTTCCGATTTCAACGTGAGTTTAATCTAAAATTATTTCATTTTTGATAGATCTTAAGTGCATTTTAGAATTTTAGAAGTAAATGTAGAAGTAGAAGAAGGTTTTCAAGCTAAAAACATAAAAAATTCTTCGATTCTGTAATGGAAACTTTTATGACTTATGGTTTGGCTCGTTACAGTCAAAAAAGCTTGGTTATTGAGGTTATTGAGGGGAGTTATGGATAGCATATAGGGTTTCTAACATGTAAATAACAGGGGTAACAGGTATTTTGGGTAGCTAGCTTGCAGGCTTAGGCTCAGGCTTAGGCTTAGTCTCAGGTTTAGGCTCAGGCTTAGGCTCAGGCTCAGACTCTGTATAGCACAAGAGCCTTTTCAACTATGAGCTTGCTAGCTTGCTGAACCAATTCTATGATTTGGACAATTTGGAGCACAAATTAAGTTGAATGACCTCCAGCTTTGCTAAAGATCATCTGGATTTCACTATTTCTGTCAAAAAATTATAGACGCACCCTGTTTTTTGCTAGTTTAGAGCCGGATATAAGTGCTAGTCCAGGGAAAGGAATTTTTTGTTTCTTTAATGTAAAAAACAGCCCATGCAAAATTTCAAGTCATTTCACTCATCCAAAGTACTTTATCGTACAAAAAACGTTTTATCGGCTGTCAAAAAATTATAGGCGCAAATTAAATTTAACGATTTATTCTATCGATAATTGTTAGTTTTTCTCATTTTTTTGCTTATTAATTATGTTTATAAATGTTTTTACATTTTCAGATATACCACTTGGAAAACAACTGGATGTGGTGGAAAAACACGTATCGATGTGCTCCCACGCTTGATCACTCAAACAGGGACATTGCTCGTCGCATCGGACGTTCTGAGAATTCGTATTCGCACGTATCTCAAGGTGACTCCTAAGTGACTCCTAAGAAGAACGAAACACGGGGCCGGAAGAAAAAGTGGTCCGATAAAGACGAACGCGCAATTATGAGACGTCTTTCCAACACGACGACATCACTCGAAAAGGCTCGCAAGGAGATGAAGCTTCCGTTCACTCGCCAAACTGTGCACAACGTTGTCAAACGATCTACAATACTCAAATACAAACTCATGAAGCAAGCTCCACGACTCACAAAGGGCCATAAAGCCGACCGTATCAATTTCGCTCAAAAGAACCAGAAGACCAAATGGGAGGGAGTTGGTTTACTAGTATTTCTTATATATTTTATGTTTAGATCATTTGGAGTGACGAAAAGAAGTTCAACCTTGATGGTGCTGATGGTTTTCGAGGATATTGGAAGGATTCACGAAAGCCGGGCATGGTCTTCAGCACGAGGAACCTTGGAGGTGGATCATGTATGGTATGGGGAGCCTTTCGAGACGGTGAACTGGTCGGCTTAGAGTTTATTTCGACCCGGATGACATCGCTTGACTATCAACAAGTGTTGGACAAACGTCTAGCCGTCGATCTGAACAACAATCCGGGCAATAACTTTACTTTTATGCACGATAACGCGAATATTCATGCAAGTTGCTCCACAAGAGATTGGCTGACAGCGCAAAAAATCGGCACTGTCGCTTGGCCCGCTTGCAGCCCAGACTTGAACCCGATTGAGAATGTGTGGGGGACACTCGTTCGAGATGTCTACAAGGGAAACAAGCAATATTCGAGCGTGAATGAACTCAAGAAAGCCATTCAAGTAGCCTGGAATCGGCTCCAGCCAACAGCGCTCCATGACCTTGTCTCTTCGATGCCGAGACGTCTTTTTGAAGTTGGGCTAAAGCAAGGAGGGGCCTGTGTGGCCTGTGTTATTAATTTATTTGGTTTGTGTTGTTATTTTTATTTCTGTTAACTTTTTCTTGATAAAATAAAAGTGCGTCTATAATTTTTTGACAGCTGATAAAACGTTTTTTGTACAATAAAGTACTTTGGATGAGTGAAATGACTTGAAATTTTGCATGGGTTGTTTTTTTACATTAAAGAAACTAAAAAATACTTTTCACTGGACTAGCACTTATATCCGGCTCTAAACTAGCAAAAAACAGGATGCGTCTATAATTTTTTGATAGAGTGTATATACTTAGACTTCTAAATAGTGAATAATCTGTAAAACAGGTAATCTCGGTCAGATTAAATCATTTTGATCCAAGGTTTGATGCGAAAAAAGGAAAACGGATACATAGCAGTTTGCTTGTTTGCTTGCTACTAAGTTTGCTCAATTGTTGCCTAAACATTGGATCCTTTAAAAGTTATCGTAATTTGAAAAGTGTCATCTGTTTGGACACATCAATCCTTTCTTTCTTTTCAGGGTTTCGTTGCCGAGTATGCAGAGTGGACAAAGGGTGGAAAGAGGCCGATTGGACGAGTAAAAGAGAAAGAGACAATAAAACGCACTGATATTCTTAATAAAGAATAAATTGTTGAATTCTGATTTGAATTGAAACTTTTTGAGTTATTTAAAAGAAAATTGATTTTTTTCAGTAAATAAACCTTTTCTCTGTGATCAATTTGTATGGAAAATGATTGATTTCAAAATACTACAGCAAATTCCACAAAATGGGCTCCGAATGGATGAGTGAATTGCCCGAATCGTTGACATTAATTCCGATCATCGATTTGGCGATTCCTGGTGGGGAGATTGAGGTTTTATGGCTATGAATTGGATAAAGAAATCTCATTCAAATTAAATGCCTATATGACGTTTAGTTAAATAGCTTTTACTGAGGAATTAGACAAGAGAAAAGAGAAAATTCAAAGACTCGAACCCAATTCCATCTTCGTTTTCTTCCTTTCCATCTTCTTTTCGCTGATTGTTCTGAAATATTGTTTGTTTGGAACTTTTTAGGAAATGATTGGCTACTGCTTACTTGTAGGCAGCTTGTAGACAGCTTGTAGACAGTTGTAGACAGCTTGTAAACAGCTTGTAGACAAAATTTCAAAGCAATCGCCCAAGATAATGCCTGAGAAAACGATGATGGAATTAGGGTCGGCTTTTTACAGTATTTCGATATCTTTAGCATCAAATCATCCCCTTCCTCAGGCTCTCACGATTCGGGTGCAACAAGTGTTCTCTCGATCAAGTACCCGGTGGCAAATGATGAGGCCACGAATCGTTTTCTCATTTGTTTCGGGAAATTGACCGGTGAGGGTTTAACGAGGATGCTCAGACTGAGAAAAGATCTTAATTCTAGCTAGTAGTAGAAACCAGTTTGTGAAATGATTCTTTCAGTCTCTCGTCGAGTCATCCTCCGATGGGCGATCACACAGCACGTGTCTGCTGGCACACAATGCCAGATGGGGGTACGGTATTTTGATCTCAGGTTTGGGATATGCTAAAGTAAGATGTGCTACAGTAACTGCTACAGTAACTGCTATAGTAACTGCTACAGCAACTAGCTATCGTACCCACTTATCCTTGAATTCAGAGTCTCGAATCCGCCGAACTCTCTCCCGTACGGTTTCCATCTCGTTCACGCGCTTTATGGACCAGAGTTATCAACTTTTTTGAAAGAGATAAAAGGTAATGGCTACAATAATCTTGAATTATTTATTTCTTTAGATTTCCTTGACATTCACCCAAAAGAAATCGTGATTTTGGATATGAATCATTTGTTTCAAGTTGATTGGGAAGTGCATAAAGAGCTCGAGAAATTGATTGTTGAGATTTTTGGGAGGAAACGCTTTTGCAAGTGGGTTTGTGATAGCGCTAGGATAGTTCTAGAGGATTAGCCAAAGGCAAAGACATGCTTGGCAAGATGAGATGTTTTTGTAGAAGATAATCCAGAATCAAAATCTCTAGAAAGAAATTGGCTGAATGAATTTCGCTAAAAATTTGACAATATACAAAAAATTTTTTGTGCTCTATCTTTTATCTATTGACACAGAGAAAGATTTCCTTAGTGTAAAATGTGGTTTCCTTAGTGTCTAAACCGGATTTTCATCAAGCTTTTTGACTAACCGACTTCAGGCTCTCAAAAAAACAAGAAAAACATCCAAAACTAAGTCATTTTAAAACCGTCTTAGTTTTAATCAAAAGAATAATTGATTTTTCTAATAAAAAAGTGGTTTATTATAGTAGTTTATTTGGTGAATTTGTTGGTTTTAAACGGAAGTACGAAAAGGAACGAAAAGGAACAAAAAGACTTTTTCGACAGCCTAATGATTGATTGTTCTTTTCAAGAAATAAGAAAAAGAAAAGTTTGAAGTTTTAAACGAAAGTATATATTCTAATAAATATCAAAATTTGAATAATAGGATTTGTTTTAGACCTTTAAATGAGAATGATTCTTCTTTCGAGCGGACACTCGATGAGATCACTTTGGAGATGATGTGGAAGAGAGGAGAACAAGTGATTTGTATCACGGCATTTGAGGTCGATTCTTCAATGATAAACAATGCTAAATGATAAACAATGCTTTGTGGCCGAGTAAACGCGCTTTTACCGGCTCGATTTCTAAGTTTTCTTTGAGTCATTGCTGAGAGTAAAAGTAGGAAAGGCGCGCTAGAAAAGGGGCATTTAAAATTTGACATCAAAGTACATCAAATTACATCAAAGTACATCAAAGTACTTCAAAGCTTAGGCGTAGGTACCTTAAATTTTGATTTACCATAATTTCCCGTACAGTACTACCCATCAAACTCAATTTTCTGGCCGGGTTTCTCGTCGATCGTCTCTCCCTATCCGGAAACGAATGACATCGCTCAGCTAATCGAATATTTATCTCAGACACAAGTTGTGAGTGCTTTAAAAGTCTCTAGAAATTGTTTAGAGATGTTTTAGAGAACTTTAGAGATTTATAGAGATATTAGATTTAGATATATTCAAGATATACAACCATTTCCAGTTCCGTTCAATCAATAACACAATGTTCTACGTGACGCAGGGGATTCTTACCGCCACCATTAAGAAGATTTGTCAGTTTCAATTTAAATCAAAAACTTTAATATCTAAATTCAAATCCTACAGCTTATTTCAAGTACCGTATCTTCTCTAATAGTAGTGCACCCGGGCGAGCCGAGTTGGTGACTATTTGACGGTTTCGAAGCTTTTGCAGAAGCTCAACACTCAAATCCCCCACTAGATCTCATCGTCAGCTACACTTTCCGACCCCACAATTTCTTATTTTTATCTAAATCTAACCTTTGAAAGCTGGAAAAGTCGAAAATGACAAATGATTTAAGGGAAATCAATCAATTCAAAGAAATGAACCGTGTTTAAATCTTTTATTTATAAACAAAGTTTTTTTATTATATTATTTTACATTCTGTGAATTCTCGATTTTATCTCTTATCTTTCTGCGATAACCATTTTTGCTTCTATCTTCTTTTATTGTGTCTTTTCCCTTGAGAAATCCAACTAACCCTAAGAAATCCACGAATAAATGTTGCAATTGACTCTCCGAAAATTTCTTGTGATAAACAAACAATTGTACTCTATTTGTCACTCAAGATTCTTCTTTCAAACAATCGTTTTTGTCGAGTTATTTTGCATTTCCTTTGTTGAAATCTTGGTCTAGATTTTTGTCTGAAGCGTTTTCTGAAGTCTATAATATTTTGCCATATCTTTTGTCGAGATTTCGATTTTTAGTCTTTCACTCAAGAATACTTTTTTGGACTTTGGTACTAAATTTCTTCAATGAGTTTCAATGATTCTGTCTGTCTATGTAAAAATGTAAGTTGCTGTAAATGTAAGCTTCAGAGTCTGGCCAGTTATTTTGCATTTCCTTTTGCTGAAATCTTGATCTAGATTCTTGCCTAAAGCATTCTTTAGTCTAGAATATTTTGCCATATCTTTTGCCGAGATTTCGATTTTTAGTCTCTTACTGAAATCTCTTTTTAGTATTTTGGTACTAAATTTCTTCAGTTAGTTTCAATGATTCTGTCTGTCTATGAAAAAAAGTGTAGGTTGATCTTATAAAAGAAAGATTTAAAAGAAAAGAAAGATCTTTTTTTCAAAAAAACATTGGAATTCACAGATTTCCACTCGAGTTCACTCAAACAGAAATGAAAAATGTGGCGATGATTTGTAGATGGAGAAGACAAATGACTAAAGTAAATGACTACAATAGAGAAGACAAATCATTAGAATGTAAATCAACAGAATAGAGAGAACAAAAACAAGAGAAGGGATTTCATTTTCACACAACAATGATTCCGATGTAGTCGAGAAATCAAAAAAAAAAATCAAAAAAACACCGAATTTTTCATTTACAATTTGCAGATACGAAAAAGACTTCAAATGACTTCAAAAATATTAAATAGATCTTCTATTTTCCTTTGAAAACTTTGAATTTTAAACAAAATTTTGATACTTTCAGCTAGTTTCACATAAATTCAAGAAAATTTACGTAAGCAATCCTATTTTATGAAGCCTACAAGTCAAAGTGATCAGCAATTAACGAACTTTTAAACGGAGAACTTTTAAAGTACAAAGCTTCAATTATATAAGCGCTAATTTTCTTAAACATACCAATTTTTACTGCAAAAATTGTTGGATAGACTTTATTCTTTGTCGAATTCTTTGGTCTTATAATTAATAAACTGAATTTAATGATTGCATTAATCATTTGATCATTGCAATCATCATCTGATCATTGCAATCATCATCTGATCATTGCAATCATCATCTGATCATTGCAATCATCATCTGATCATTGCATTGATCATTTGATCATTGCATTGATCATTTGATCATTGCAATCATCATTTGACCATTGTATTGATCATTTGATCATTGCATTAATCATTCGATCATTGTATTGATCATTTGATCATCATCAAACCATCAAATCATTGCTTTAGCATTTCCTATTCATCTTTCAAAATATTCTCGAAACTTTTAGAAATGCTTGGCCATCTACACACTAGCCATTTCTTCGTCCTCTTTGGGAGTTCATCAGCAATTGTTGCAAATATTATTCTCATTATGATCATTGCCAAGCATAGGTTTGATCTAGAGCTAGAGCTAGATCTAGATCTAGATCTAGATCTAGATCTAGAGATAGAGCTAGATCTAGAGATAGAGCTAGATCTAGAGATAGAGCTAGATCTAGAGATAGAGCTAGATCTAGAGATAGAGCTAGATCTAGAGCTAGAGCTAGATCTAGAGATAGAGCTAGATCTAGAGCTAAAGCTAGAGCTAGATCTAGCACAGTAGCCATAAAGATCTTCTTCAGTCGTCCAGAATTTGGTCGTTACAAGTACTTGATGATGCTCTTTGCCTCTTTCAACATCGTTTATCCGCTATTTCATTTGATTTTGATGCCGGTGAGTGTCTGGTAGTGAATGTTGACATTTTAAGGGTTAAAGTTGTAAATTCTAAGTTGAAACTACAGTTGAACTAGTAGAACTTCTCTAAAACAAGATCCAATTGTCAGGAAATTCAACAGATGACTCCAAGTAATTCTTAAATACTTAAGTAGGCAAGAAAAAAAAAGTTGAACTGAAGCTATTGAGGGCCTTCACGTTGTCGGCTTTGCTTTCAGCTTCTATGTCGCTTCTCCCCTCGGTGCTTTTATGAGTGAATCGGTTGGACAAGTGAGTGAGAGTTTTCACAATTGAAATCAATTCTTCAATTTTTCGTTGATGATTCTCTATTGGTGTATTCTGTACAATAAACAACTCGTTCTAATCGTTTTCCATTTTCTTTATCGATATATATCAGTTTGCGAGTAAGCACTAGATCAACTTTTACCATTTTAAAGTCTTTTTAGACAAAATTTGATTCCAATCTTTAAACAATGGTCAATCCGGGTACTTTTGGCTCTCTACATAGTTGTCGATTTGACAATATGGAGTTGGTTCTTCGAAACGCAATCATGGTCTTTAAGAGCGAATCGGGTAGGGTTTTAGTCTTTCTTTTAGTCAACGAATCATCCAATAATTACTCATTAAGTGGTACTTGCAAGAGGATTTCTCTAAATTCTATGGGATGAACTCAGAAACAGCCTCAATTCTTGGACCATTATTCAAGGTAACAAGCAAACTTAGCAGTAAACTTAGCAGTAAACTTACCAGTAAACTTCCCAGTAAACTAACCAATAAACTAATCAGTAAACTTACCCGTAAACTTCCCAGTAAACCAGTAGACTTCCCAGTAGACTAACCAGTAAACTTCCCAGTAGACTAACCAGTAAACTAACCAATAAACTAACCAATACTAACCAATACTAACCAAACGAATAAACTAACCAAATCAGTAAACTTAACAATCTCTAAACAAACAAACCAGTAAACCAATAAGAATTCCAAATTTAGTACAATGACACGAATGGTGTTGAACGATTTCGTCCATACAATCTCCTTTGCACTACAATGAATATGAGCATTTTACTTTACAAATTTATTCTAATGGTTTGTCTCTATTATTTAGTTGCGAAAAACATTTCCAGATTTGGTTCACAATAAAAATCCATAACGCTTTGAAGTACGGCCAATTGAGCATTCGAACGAAACGCTTGCAAATGGAGCTGCTGAAAGCGTTGATTGCTCAGGTAAATGTTTCAAAGAAATGAACTGTAGCTGTTAAGATACGAAGAGCTTTATTTGAGTACAAAGAACAAAGTTAATCCCGACACAAATCCCAATTACACTTCCAAAATTAATGCGAATCAAAATTTTCCGCTAAAAGCATTGAGCCAAATTGTTTTTGATGTAAATGACTAAATCGAATTTGGTAAAACAAAGTGCTACTTGGTGTATGGTGTTGATTGAGCTATCAAAAACAACAAGAACTTGTTTCCTAGTTTACTAATTCGGTAAAACAGGACTACTTGATGTTGGTTGATTGTTTTCTCCTTGTTTCCTTCCCTTCCTCGTCTTTTTTTCCTCACTGATTCTTATGCCTTCAATGGGATCTCTTGATTGAGCTATCAAAATCAACAACAACTTGTTTCCTAGTTTAGGAAAGAAATCAAATTGTAGCACAAGTAAAATGATGTAAAAATCAAGTCAAATACACAAAGAAAGAAAGAAAGAAAGAAAGAAAGAAACTAACAAACAAACAAAGAAACAAACAAACAAACAAAGAAACAAACAAACAAACAAACAAACAAACAAACAAACAAACAAACAAACAAACAAACAAACAAACAAACTAACAAACTAACAAACAAACAAACAAACAAACAAACAAACAAACAAACAAACAAACTAACAAACAAACAAACAAACAAACAAACAAACAAACAAACAAACAAACAAACAAACAAACTAACAAACAAACAAACTAACAAACAAACAAACAAACAAACAAACAAACAAACAAACTAACAAACAAACAAACAAACAAACAAACAAACTAACTAACAAACAAACAAATAGTTCATTTCAGACAGCTTGTCCCTTTGTGATGGAAGGTGTGCCTTGTCTACTCACTCATTTTTGTGCTTTCAATGGGATCTATATTGGACCGTGGTAAGTTTTGATTGAAATATTTGATGCGAATCTATTGCAAATCTCTTGTCTAAAGTATCGCTGAGATAGTGTAAGCTGAAAAGAAGAGTTTTAAGAAATTTGAGGCTGGCCTTTGAATGCAAATTTCCATCGGAAACTCGTCAAATTTCAGGTGCAGTTGGGTGCTAGTCCCAGTCTCGATGTACCCACTAATGGATGCAATAACGATGTCCTATTTCATTAAAGATTATCGAAAAGTGATCGTCAACAAATGGCAAACATTTCAAATTGATTTCATTTTTTGAAATGCTCAATTCCAGGAAAAGTGGAATATCCACAAAATCCACAAAAACCACACAAATCGCGTCAACGTCAGCACGTCAAGCGCAAAAATATGGAGATAACTCGTCAGCTGCGAAAACTACCGAACCAGTGACACAATAAAATATTGTTGAATGAAATTCTTCAAGTTCTCATAAAAA